TGCGGGGCTCGCTCACCGGGGCATCCGCCACCCTTGTGCGGGGGCGAGTGCGAGCCCCCCGGCTTAGGGGGGGGTAAAGCAGGGGTTTCTGAAAGATACACACACACACACACACACGCACACACACACGCTGTTGGTTTAAATGTATGGTAGCTTTCTCTCCAGTGTCATTTGAATAATTCAGTGAGCCCCACTACCAGCTGTACTTCTGAAGCCTCTTCCATTCTTTTCAGCATTATAATTTTGGTTAATTTTCAATTTTAGGCCCTACGTCTCTGCAATTTGTGTATGAATAACAGAATAATTTTCCTCTTTTGTTTCGCCTTTCCTGTTCCTGAATCTAAATAAAGATGGCTTTTTAGTATTAAAAGTGGAAGAAAATTACAGGTAATTATCTTTGACGGTAAAAACGCTGTAATCAGCGGGCTACATGAAAAATTACTCTAATTATGGCTGCATTTAAGAGAATGGAAAAAAACCTTCTTGTGGATAAAAACCTTAAATTGTCCCCAATGTCTGCTTCAAATTGGATGGCACTGCAGCTGGAGGCTTTGTTCAGAATTGATCCTGGGGAGCTCTGAACCCAAAGTTTCACAGTGGGAAGGGGAAAAAAAGAAAAGAAAACATTTTTCCTAATGTAACAATACGAATGGTAGAAAATGACAAGACTGATCGGTTTTAAACCACTCTGAAGACTGACTGAGCGTGGAAGTTGCTCAAAAAAAAAAACAAAAAAACACCCCCCAAAAAACTGGTATATTGGTAAGTAGTCTTTGCTTTGTGTCTAATTATAGTGACTGTCCTTTTGCACGACTGTATGTAGCTGTCATTATATGGAGCACTCTGAGGATCTCTATTGACTTCTGATAAATGGCTCAGTGGTTTCAAGGTTCATAATTTGAAGGATGCCCAGGTCTCTAGCCATTAATTCTCGCAGTATGGGGCACCCAGCTTGGATGAGGAAAGGGCTTTTCATTGTCAGTAGTTGCTGTGCTTTCCACAAACCGGTGAGGCTGGAGCTGGCTGGACAGCGCGTCGTGTGCCCGGGCACCTCTCCGGGCTTTTCAAAGCATTCCTCAGCTTGTATTGTCTGCTCTTTAAAAACAAAGGAGGGCGCCTCTTTTCTTAATAATTCCGAGTCTCCAACCTTGGGGAAGAAAGGCAGGGCTCTGAGCTTTGCCTCGGCGGGAGAGCTCAGCTCAGCTGAGCAGCGGAGCAGGGAAACGGCAGCAGAAACGGCCGGGTGATTGGAATCTTCTTCTAGGCTTATCTCCGCGGCCTCGATTCCTCCTTGTCTTAGTCGTAGCCTTGAAACGAACCAAAGCACCAGCTCCCCCCCCATTTCCTCCTCCCCCCGGTCTTTCCCGTCTTTGCTGGCAGATGTGTGCTCAGGTAGCGGTGTCTGTGCGTGCAGGCGAGCGGGGGGGACTGTCCAGCTGCCTGGGCTGAACGCGGGGGGCGGGTGGGGGCAGGTGGGGATCCGCCAAGGCGGAGAGAATTAGGAGCCAGGCGGGCGTTTTGTGGCTTTTACTCTATATATGAAAGAAGACAAAAACATACAAAGTATATATACAACTAAAATTCAACAATATATACAGAAAGGTTGCTCGGGGGAAGGGTCCTTCTCGCTCGGTGGGTGAGGCTGCCGTCAGGCAGGAGTGGACCTTCCCT